CCCGCGTAACCCCTTCCAAAGCCTGACCGCCCTTTCCGTGAGGGAGTTCCAACCTGAACCTCCCCTGGCTCAGCTTGAGGGCGTTTTTCCGTTGAGAGCAGAGCATGACCCCCTCCCGCTGTTCCCTCTTGTCAGGGAGTTGTGCAGAGCCAGAAGATCCCTCCTGATCCCCCTTTTCTCCCGGCTGAGCCCCTTTCCCGGCTCCCTCCGCCTCTCCTGGTACTCCAGACCCTTCCCAGCTTCTTCAGCCTCTCCTGCTTCTCCAGATCTTTCCGAGCCCCCTCATCCTTTCCAGGTGCTCCAGACCCTTCCTGGCTGCTTCAGCTTTTCCTGGTGTTCCAGACCTTTCCCATCTCTTTCATCTTTTCCCGGTGCTCCAGACCCTTCCTGGCTCCTTCCCCTTTTCCTGGTGCTCCAGACCCTTCCCAGCTTATTCATCCTCTTCCAGACTTTTCCCATTTCTTTCAGCCTTTCCTGCTGCTCCAGACCCTTCCTGGCTCCCTCTGCTTCTCCTGGTGCTCCAGACCCTTCCCAGCTCCCTCAGCCACTCCTCACAGGATTTACGATGGTTTTAGTTGAAGGTTTTAGTTAAATCCCGTCTCATCCCAGCCCCTGCCATGGCAAGGACACCTCCCGCTATCCCAGGTTGCTCCAAGCCCTGTCCAACCTGCCCTAGGACACTGCCAGGGATGGGGCAGCCACACCGTGCAAGTGTATGAGGGGTGAAAAGGGAGGGCACATGGAGATTTTTCTAATTATTCAGCCAAAAGTTGTTTTCTGTGCAGCAATGAGGAGCGAGGGGCTGCCCAACGAGGCGCTCTGGCGTTGGTGTCACGCTCAGACTCTTCTCATCCATCCCTCACCCCACCCGTGTCCTGCCGTGCACCCTGAGAATGCTCAGGTGGCTCTGTAAAACTCATCCACAAAATCTTATCACAGACTTCTGGTGTGAGCCAGGACAATCTGTGGCTCAACCCCTACTAAAATTGGGTGTTTGTGGCTTTTATTTTTATATAGTTTGTGGTCAAGCAATAACCCAGCACTGTGAACAAGAGTCTTCCCAGGTGGACTCCGGGCCAAACCAAACACACAACTGGGCCAGATGTCTGAAATTTTCCAGCTATAAATTGCAGCAGTTCCCCAGCTTTCTGCTGTAAATCCAAGCAAAGTGTCTCCCTCGGGATCTGGTGTTTAAACCCATGGCAATAACGGCTCTCGTAAAAAATGATGGGCTTAAACAAAGGATAATGCACCTCAAGGATGCTGTGGGAAGGAAAAAGAGATGGACAAGGGTGGGAGTTACTTTCACAATTTTATTTATATCCCCTCTCCCCAGTAGTGGAGTTCTGTAGCTCTATTCCTTGTGCAAGGACTTCTCCTTCAGATTTCCCACACCATGCAGGAAGGAATTGTGTTTGTTCCATCATAATAATAAAATCTGTCCACAAAAGCTGTAAACATTATTTTTTAGAGTCTTTTGTTACTGTCTCCTTCAAACACACACACACACACGCACACGCACACACACACACAGTTTTTGTATCAAAGAATTTCTGGGTGACCTTTGACGTCCAGTCCCTGACTCAAACTCACATTGTTTTTTTCTTTTTTTCTTGTTTTTTTTTTTTTTTAAGCAAAAATCCCTTGATGTGAATGCTTTTTGTGGCTGATACCTGACAGAGTCATCTCATTCCCACACTTCCAGTCCAGTGGAGCCTCTCTCCTAGAAAATCTGTGGAAAATTCCCTGTTATAACCCCACAGGGATGTTAAAGCTCGGTGAGGTGCGGCTCTTGCTCTGAACACGTGCACAGAGAATCCCGAGCAGGGCACTGGGAATGTTGGAGGGTGTTTTTCCCTCCCACCTGAGCAGGAGCAGGAAGGGAAGCTCCAAAGGGAAGCTCCATCTGTTCATTCCTGCCTCAAACCCCCTCCTCCCGCTCAACTGTGGGGCGAGCATCTCCTGGTTTATCATTAAGACTCTTCCCAAGCAATGCTTTCTTTGGCTCACAAATAAATCAAGGACAGCAGTAAAACCAGAAAGCAAAATAAATCTTCTGCTGGATGGCAGAGAGAGCAGATTCTTCCAGCTCTCTGCTTTCCACGCTTCAGTTCAGTGACAACACATGGAGAGTTTTCAGCACTTCCCGATTTTTCTGTGCCACATCCAGCGGCCGGAGGGTCCCACACAGCCGATCCCAGGTGGGATTTTCAGGGCTATCAGTCATTAGGAAATCCAGGCCATTTCACAGAAATTCTCACTTCCCTTCCAACAGGTTCTGAAGGATTTTGATGAGGTTCTCCAAGCCAAAAATGTAGCCATGGTCCGGCCCATCATGCGGGGTGGGGTTGGGGTTGCTTTTGGAGCCTTTGAAGGTGGTGTGGGCAAAGTCTATCATCCTCACATCCACCCTGGAGGGGTTCGTGCCCTGAGTTTTTGGGAAGGAGAGGTGTTGATCCGCGCTCTCCTTGTGCTCCTGCCCGTCGTAAATGATGAGGAGGGAGCTGGAGTAGAACCTGTAGGAGCTTTGCTTCCTGATCACCGCCAGCAGGGCCTTGAGGCGCAGGATGATGGGCTCCAGCAGGTCGGTCCTCAGCTGGTTCCCGTTGCACAGGAACTGCCGCAGCGTCTGCCGGAACCCCTCCGCAGACAGCTTCCTCCCGTAGTATTTGTCTTTGCACAAGAAATGACCCGTGTCTGCCTGGTAAACCTGGAAGGGAACAGAGGAATAATCCATAAAATCATCCCGAGTTGTGAGGGATTCACAAATGATGCCCTAGAGATAAAGATTTTAGCATCTATATTTTTCAAATCCTGCGCTGTATTAGTGCATAACTTTAAACTTCATATAACTACTTTGGTAGTTAACACTTGGCACTGACACACTTTGGTCAGACAAAACAATTCCCCTGGGCCTCGAACCCAAGGACATCCTACAGCCTCAGGCCCTGAAAAGTATAAACAAAAGTGAGTTGGGGAGGAGCAAACTGAGGGTCTATGACTTCATTAACTGAAGCTATAATTGGAGAATTAACCCCTGATATGCAAATAGACCAAACTCATATCTGTCTGAAAAGTTTGTGACCATCTTCTATCTTGGGTGTAGCCTCTGGGAGGCTTCTGGCTGCCCAAGGTGTATCTATTAATTTTAATAAATACCCACTTTATTCTCTTAACTCTGTCTAGCCTCTGTTCTAGGTAGCCACTCCAAGGATCAATATGACCACTGAAGTTCAACTCTGTCTGTTTGAGGATACCAGAGATCAGAAAAAGACATGGGGTTTGACTTTATATATTTTGCTTTATATTCTATTCTCATTACTGTCAAATTATTCTTCAGGCAGGGTTTTGAAACCTGTTTGAGAAATAATGAGAGAGGGAAACGTGTGGTTTGGGTTTCCAGGAGGAAGGATGGGGATTTCCAGCAGGAGAAATTTAGTTCAAAATGAACCCCTGGCTCTCACAGCTCAGTGAAAGCACAAGTGAGGCAATGTGGTGCTTTGGAGTTTTTCCATGCAGCAGCCAAGAGCTGAGCAGGAATCTGTGTGTAAAAGCAGCTTCTCAGATGGGGTGAAGGGTTCCAGCTGCTCACACAGGTGGCAGTGGCATAGAGAAAGGGTCACCCTAAATGTGCCACTTTTGACACCCTCTCTGAGAGGACACAGAGCCGAGCAGCTGTGAGAATCCTTAAAATCAGAGGGTTCTTCCTAATATTTTGCTAGATACACTTTTCTGTAGTTAGGGAGTTATTCTATCCAAGGGTTAATACACAGACCATTGTTCTATTTGTCCCCAATTTCTACTTCTTAAATAACTTTTCTTCTGACAAATCTTAAGGCTACTGCTTAACTCTAACAGCAGTTCTGCTGTTTCTGAGGTGTGTCTTTCACAGCTTTTCCAAAACCTTCTGATTTTAACAATTCCCACAAGTGGCCACTTTTTACAGCCCGTTTTTGAGGGGAAAAGAGAATAAAACTGCTTCAATTCACATCAGCCAAGAACCCCTGGAGATTCCAGCTTGCTTCCAAGGGAAGAACCAAGGGGGGAACCAACAACAACAACAACAACAACAAAAAGCACTTAAATCCCGAGGGGATGGAGGCTTTACCTGCATCCCACAGATGCGCACGCCCAGCGACGCCGAGGTGCTCTGCTCACACTTCTTGATGTGCCGGGCTTTCTTCTCCTCCGAGGCGTCATCCCCGTGCTGCCGAGTGCCCATCTTCAGGTCCAGGATGCAGGGATAGCTGTACTTGGACACCACGTTCTCCAGCAGGAGAAACTCTGAGCGCGAGTGAAGGCAAACCCAAGACTTTTATATTCTAATTGAAAGAGGCCTTAAATCAAAGCAACTGCTGACACTCTCCATAACAGCTCACAACTGTAATGAGACTTTCTCAGCCAATTTCTCCGACGTGTCATTGCTATGGGCCTCCTGCTGCCAATTCCAGTTAATTTACTGTACTACAGCCCTACCAATTAAAGCCCCGGCAGCTCCATTCTCCAGTGACACCGTAGCCCTGGGCTGTCACTCTGACACCTTCCCTAGGTGCTGAGCTCGCTCCGGTGGGTGGGGGAAGTTGTTAAACTCTATTACTCACATGACTGGTGGGTAATGAAGTGTAATAGGAAAATAAAAGGCGAGGCAGCTGCTAATTCCTGTATAGTTGTGTTTTTAAATGTACGCCAAGGGGATCTTTGACTTCTGCTGAGAACTCTTTATGGGAAATGTTTTTTTTTATTCTTTCTCTTTTATTTTTTTATAGAAGATAACAGAGAATATTCCCTATTTTCCCAGAGTCTGTGCAGAGGAGGGGATGCATCCCGCTGCAATAAACCCTACACTGATTCCCAGCTGTTATCTGTGGCCAGGACTGTGCTGGAGGGGAGAGAGGAGAAAGGATACGATGAAGTTTGTTCTCATTGTGCTTGGAGGACATGCGGTTCAGGTGCTGCCGGTGACAGTGCAGTCCCCAGGGGTTGTAGCTCTTCCTTTCTGCCTGCTTCCCATTTGCATCTTCCAGAAGGGAATCTGTGTGGTACTGAAGGTCTGTCCTCAAAAGCATCTTCCCAGGGCAGCTAGACAAAGCACACAAAGGGACACATCAGGTTTATGAGCTCCAGAGGAGAATATTCTCTTCCCCATTTTATTTTTTCCTGTAGAGCCTTAAACTTGATAAGGTGGATTTTCAGGGACTCTCAAAGGAACCATATTGATCATGTCCAACCTGCAGAGATCCTTTGTTACTCCATAACAGTAATTTTCAGAAAGCCAGCTATTGCTGCCTGCCAATACTTTTTATTTTTCATTATAATTTAAAGTGTGCTGGCTCCCTTAAAAAGTCATTCACAGCCCCAGCTGCCAGGGATCTCTATTTATCCAACTAATGGGCACAGCACAGGCAAATGCTCCAACAATGGGAATGATTCCCAATTTGGAAGGGCTGGCTCCAAGCAGGGGAGGGAGGGAAAGATTGATGAGAAGATCTGTTCTCCTTGGGTGGTCATTCTTTGGTCTTGCTCATCCCAACTCCACCACTCCCATCTCTCCAAAGGCAGCAGGAATATTCCACCTCCAGTCCCAGGTGGCCCAGGGCTGCTCTGAGCCAGTTTGGGATGAAGGATGTCCTGCAGAAAACCTCTGTGAGGCAGAGGTGCTGGGAGCACTGGGGGCCTTCCTGGGAGAGCTCTTCCCTGGGCTGGGCTGGGATGGGCTGGGATGGGCTGGGATGGGATGGGATGGGATGGGATGGGATGGGATGGGATGGGATGGGATGGGATGGCACTGAAGCCCCTCTGCTGCCAGCAAAGGGACATTCTGTGCTCAATGAGTGTTCTCCCTCTCCTGGAGCCTGCTGTGCTCCAAGGAATGGGGTTTAGAGCAGAACTTGAGGCAGATATTTGAGCAACAACATCCCAGATCCACCTCACTCTGTCCCCAAACTGGGGAAGAGCAGAACCACACACACAGGGCTTGGCTCTGCTGTTCTTCACCTTGGGTGGCTCCTACTTTTGCCCTAAACTCACAGCTGGACCACCAAACCCATCCCATCCCATCCCAACCCATCCCAACCCCATCCCAACCCATCCCATCCCATCCCAACCCCACCTATTCCAATCCCATCCCCATCCCCACCCATCCCAACCCCATCCCATCCCAACCCATCCCAACCCATCCCAACCCCATCCCAACCCATCCCAACCCATCCCAACCCCATCCCAACCCATCCCAACCCCATCCCAACCCATCCCAACCCCATCCCAAACCCATCCCAACCCATCCCAACCCCACCCACGTGGCAGATGCCAGCCAGGAGGGTGGCAGGGAGTGACCGACCCTCACCTGTCTTTGAAGGTCTTGGTGACCTGGGTGTGGCTCCACTTGCACCTGTGCCACAGGGTGACGGCGGGGTCGCCGCCGGCGCTGTCCAGGCGGCCGCAGCCGTCCGGCTGGCCCAGGCCAGGGCTCGCAATCAGGGTCAGGTTGCCCAGGCTGTCCTTCTTGAGGTGCACGGACACGATGCCTGGACAGAGGGGAAAACAAACGAGACAGAGATGAGCCCGTGGGGTATCACCGAGGCCTGGTGCAGTAGATAGGGACAGGTGAATGGAAGATCTCGGGATGTGACGGAAAGCAAGACCCTTCCCCCTCACCCTGTAATATGTGATCCATTACCCCCAAGACATGTAACCCCACCTAACCCAGTAGTTATCCACTCCTTACTAATCCCAGAAGACCCTACCTCCTTCCTTTGATGTAGCAAAGTCCCCCTTGACTATTTAACCCCATGAGATAAGATAATAAACACCATTTCACCGTCCACCACGTTGGTGTCTGTGCGTGTCGGTGGCCCGAGTGGCCTGGGCGAGGCCGGGCTGCCGTGCTGTTCCTCAAAACCAGGTCACCTTGCCTTCCCCTGAAGGCAACAGCCTGGCCACCACCTGATGTTTTGGTGGCCTTTTACTGATCCCACTCTGATTTCAAGCCCAATAAAGCATCATTAGGCTGAGACCCTGGGAAACACTCTCAGGATTTTCAATTGTTCCCCCTCTCAAGGCTCAGTTTGAAACCTGCCTCCTCTGAACCCCACATTCCTTTGTCCCCCACCCCTCTGAGTTCTGCTGTGACCCAGAGAAGCCTAGGAGCTCTCAGCTTATTTGTCACATGGGATTTAAGTGCTTTTTAAAGACAGCACATGGCTGGAAACACTTTTCATTGGCAGGAAGCAAAGACAGGGTTGGGGACAAGGCGTTTTCCAAGGACACCCAGCGTGCCAACAGCTTCTTTCAGTTGGAGAGCCCCAGGAGCAGGGCAGAGATGTGGCCATGGGCTGGCAGCACTGCCCACACATTGTCATGGTTGTGCCCTTCCCCCAGCACCAAGAACCAGCTCCTAAATATCCCATGGGGGGCTGGAGTGTCACACATCCATGTTTGTACCCGACAGGGACCAGGACTGTGACCGGAGGTTATTTTTTTCCACCCTGAGTGCTTAAAACACCATTCTGCATTTGAACATCGCAATTTTCCCTGACTCTGACAGGAATCACAGGGCTCAAATGCCAGCCAGTCCAGCACGGATTTAGCCCAACACGAGCCCATCCCTGGCACGGGGCCGGCTGTGTGCTGGTCTCAAGTGACAGCGCAGGAATGGCCACGGAGCTCACTGCCGCCGGCTCTGCCCTTTCTGGGAAAGGCTGATAACGCCAGCCCGCTCCCACAGCTCTGCCACGGCTCCCTGAGCCTCCTCAGAGCACAGCCTGAGGCTGCACCATGGGAAGTTTAGGTTAAATATTTAAAAAAAAAAACAATTATTCGCTGAAAGAGTGGCTGGACACTGCAGTTGTCTGCCCACGGAGGTGGTGTGTCACTGTAGGGAATAATTTGCATTGACTTTATGATTGCAAAATTGATTAATTGGTTTATTATATCATCTTATACTATGTTATACTATATTTATTATTAAGAAAATCAGTAACCCTTACAGCCAGACTGATCCAGCTTGGACGTAATTGGTTAATCCATCTAAACACCATCCAGTGTCCAATTAAGAAATCACCCTTCGGTAAGCAGGTGCAACAAGTGGAGATAAGATAAGAATTGTTTCTCATTCTTTTCTCTGATCTTCTCACAGCCTTCCCCAGGAAAATGCCTGGAGAAGTCTGTGCCTGCTCTCTGTGGCCAGAGGTGCTGCAGAGTCACCGTGCCTGGATGTGAGTAAAAAACCCTGGACGTGGCACTCGGTGCCGTGGTTTAGCTGATGAGGAGGTGTCAGGTCAGCTCGTGGTGATCTCAAAGCTCTGTTCCAGCCTGGTTCATTCTGTGATTTGGGGCTGGGGGGCTGCCAGCTCCCAGAGAGGACAGGGACCAAGGACAGGGACCGAGGAGAGGGACCAAGGACAGGGGCCAAGGACAGGGAACAAGGACAGGGACCGAGGAGAGGGACCAAGGACAGGGGCCAAGGACAGGGGCCAAGGACAGGGAATGAGGACAGGGACCAAGGACAGGGACCAAGGACAGGGTCCAAGGACAGGGAACAAGGACAGGGGCCAAGGACAGGGAATGAGGACAGGGACCAAGGACAGGGAACAAGGACAGGGCAGTGGGACCAGCAGGAAGAGCCCAGCTGGGGGCATGGGGAGCTGGGCTGGATCCAGCTGTGCCCAGGGCATCCTCACGGGTGTTCTGGGCATGTGGGGAGATGATCTCAGCAGCTCCACAAACAGTCCTGCTCTCCCAGGCAGAGGTGCCAAAGCCAAAAAAGGTGCAAAGCCCCTTCTCTCCATTTCAAGTGCAATTCCAGTGAGCAAACATGGAGCAGAGCCTTTGCCTCCTGCGCCTGCCAGGTTCTGCTGCCTCAGGGATTTCCCCACCTGAACTGTCCCTGCAGCCACCCCATTGGACTGGGGTGCCCATCCCTCCCCGGGCCCTGCGCCCCAAAACCTCGGGGTTGGATGCTTTTCCCTCCCCACAGCCATTCCTGGTCCCTTCTGCTGTACAATCAGCATTATTGTGAACAGGCTGGGTTAAATGGGCTGGCTGTACACAGAGATGGGGGGGATCTACCCAGGCTGCTCTGCTGAGGGGCTGCAAACCTTCACTAGGGGAAAAAGCAATATTTGCATCCCTCCCAACCCTCTGTGGTGAGCTCAGGGAGTTCCATCTTGCTCAGGCTCCAGCATTACCTTTTCCCTGAGTCCTATTCTTAAAAAAATCCATATTTCTGAGAGTAAACAGATCTCCTCTCAGCCTGGATGACTGCTTCACATTTTCAGGGGATGTAGACATGAAAAAAAAAAAAAGAAGAAAAAAAAAAAAAAAAAAAAAAAAAAAAAAAAAAGCGCCAGCGTGTCTTTTCCCTAAATCAAAGCATTTTTCATTTAAAAAAGTCACTGGGAGGCAACCAGAGCCCTTGATTGTAAACACCATAACCTTAAAAACTGTCCCAGTTCCTGCCTGCAGTCAGCAGGGCTGTGCTCATTTGCATAGTGCTGACAGGCTGGCCCCAAAAAACTTATATATAGCGTGAAAGTAAGAATTGTTAAATATCAGCCATTAATATGAAAATTAATGGGGAGATTTTCAAAGGCGAGAACCGAGCGTTAAATTGGAAGGGAATGTGATCCTCTCCCTCCTCCCAGCTGGAAATTCAGCTCTCAAAAAACCTACAAATCAGCCTGAAATGTGTTTTTTTTTGTTTGCTGGGGGGATCCCACAGGGGTTTGCAGGTGTCCTGCCGTGACCTGTGTGTGGCAGACAACCCCCAGAGCTGCTCCTGTGCTGCATCTCTCCAAAGGCTTTGGGTGCCTGTCTGAGCTGCCTTTGGTGTCACTGACACCCCAGCGCCCCTCCTGCCGCCACCAGCCAGGAGCCAGAGGGTATTTCTGGGTGCTGTCACCACGCTGGAGTCATCCCAGAGGCTCTCAGGAGGTTTCATTCTGTAACTCTGCCCTCGTGGGTTTATTTTGGTGTTTACAAGCACATTCATCTCTACTGCCCGGGGCGCTGGGAGCCTGAGCACAACTGGGCTGGAAAACAAGCCCAGCATCCCGCTGGGAGCTCAACTGGGACACGGCAGGGCCTTCAGAGGGGATAAAAGTCAGTCCCAAGGTCACCAAAATGCCTGATGTGGGCAAGGTGAGCAGCAAAAGCCACGGGCTCGGGGTGAGGCTTGAATGATATTTGATCCCCATTGTGGAGAATGCCATGGTTATTGCACGGGTGTCACCATTGCACAGTGTCACCATTGCACAGAATGTCATCATTATGTAACAGTCCCAGGGCTGTTCCCACAGCCCAGAAATAGAGATGAGCTACATGGCTACGTGTGGATGGAGCCACCAGGATCATCCCCCTCATCATCCTCACAGGAAAGTGTTCCAGCTCTTTAATTACCTGGCAGCAGGGCTGGGACAGCCAGGAGAGGAATAAACATCTGAGCCCAATGCCAGATTGGAGAATTGCTATTTAATTACCCTCCATCATAAAATTCTCTGGGATTTGAAATAGGAGAAGAAAAGACACAAAGGTTTGAATAACAAGGGCACCCCTGGCCTGGTTAAACTGGGACTGTTTAATGGTTTTATCAGTGAGGGCCCGGTGCTGCAGCACCAAACCCCAGCTCCTGCCAGAGGAAACCGCTCCGAGGAAACTTTTCTCCCTTAAGCATATTTTTAATATTGTCCCATAAATCTGCAGAGGCCCCTGACTTTCTGGGAAAGGGAGAGATTGGGCTGGAAGCACATTGGAGCCGTGGCTGACTGAGCTCTTTGCTGTAACGCCGAAGGACCAAGAGATATTTTAAGTTTTTACGTGACAACCGAGCTTCTCGCCTCCCCCAAAAGCCAGGGTCGGGAGCTTTATGAGCAGCACAAGCCTGGCAGTAAAAGCAGAAAATACTGAAGGAATAAGAAAGAGAAGGGAGGGAGGATGTCTTAAAAAACGCTGGTGCTGCTCTCCCAGTGCTGCTTTCCAGGGGCCGAGAGATTCAGCTGGGAATGGGAGTCAGGGATGGGGCAAGCAGGAAAATCCCTCTGTGCCTGGCAAAGCCTCACCTGCAGCAGCTGGGGATGCTTTTTAGGGAGCTGAGAGCTCTGTAGCTCCCCTTACCTTTGTACTGAGGCGTGAACTGCCTCATGGCCAGGGGCAGGGACTCGTAGAAGCTCAGCTCCTGCGACACCAGGGGCTTGCAGACGGTGTGCTCGTCGTAGGTCAGCATGCTGCTGTGGCCGCCCACCTGGTGCACGAAGGGCTGCAGGAGCACGGCGGCCCTGGGCTCCGCAGTCTGCCCCACCATGGTGCCAGGCACAGCCCGGGGGGCTCCAGCAGCACACGGAGCTGGGACACGCAGCCTGGCACGGGCAGGGCCGGGCCGCTTTTCACCCACTCTGGTGTTTCCCCCGCGCTGGGTTTTCCTCCGCGCTGGCCTTGCGCTAAGGGAATCTGCAAAACAGAGGGGTGAAGGAGTTAGAGGAGAAGGGTCACCCAGCAGCTGGGTGGGATGAGTCTGTCAGCGCTCAGGGGCTGGCAGGGAGCCCCAGCCTGACACAGAGTCCAGGAAAGGCCCAGTTTTGATCTGCTGGGGACAAGAGACAGAGATCGGAAGAGCTGTGAATTAAAGCCGTGGCCTCATCGATGCAGCAGGATTAACACACTGCACCGATGCTGTGAAACACCCCCAGCCTGTCCCAGTCCTTCCCTTGGACTTCCCCTGCACAGCAGCGTTGCTGCAAAGCCCCTGCAAGTCCCCAGGCACTCCCTTGCTCTACAACAATTCCTGAACCTTCCAAAGAAACCTCAGCCTGGGACATTCCCTGTCACTGAACACCGGAGCAGCAGCAGCAGCATTTCATTCCCAAAGTGACACACACAACCAGGGGGATGTGGATGTGTCACAGCAGCACCCACAGGGCTCACACCCAGCTTTTCACCCTGACCCCTGATTCCAGAAATTCCTCCTTGATTCTGACAGCAGCAAGGCCCAACTCCAAAGCAGCAGTGTAGGAAAATCACGGAGCACATCCGTGGTGCATCCCCAGCAGCAGCCACCAACACCTGCTCCTTCCCCCATCCCTCACAGGAAACCCACGGATGGCTCGTGGACATCAGGAATTTAATCCCACAGGCACCAAGATGACGAAAAGGAGCTGATGTTGGTGCTGGAGCAGCCTGGCTTCACACCAGAGATGGACACTGCACATGCCAGACTCACAGGGATGGGGAGAAAAAGATTAAAATCATCATTTGAGGACAGGATGGGGAGAAAAAGATTAAAATCATCATTTGAGGACAGGATGGGGAGAAAAAGATTAAAATCATCATTTGAGGACGGGTCCATGGCAGCAGAGGCCCTTTCTCCTGATTGCTCCAGCTTCAGCACAGCCTGGGGAGGGTTGCAGAACCCCAGTGCCAGGGACAACGATGCCTTTGCAAGACCCAGTTCTGCCAGGAGAGCCTCCAGGTGAGCAGCTGCCCCCCCGGCAGCCCCACGGGGCAGGTGAGACCCAGGCAGCGCTGTCACCCCTCCTTGTGCAGGAGCCAGGTGCTCTGTGCAGGAGATATAATTCACACCATTTCCAATATGATAGATGCGATATTGAATATTTGGTGGAGTGTACACTTTGATTAGGAGTCCCTCCACCCCCCCCGGCGAGACCGGGTGTGTTTTGGAAACTGATTTACAAGTAAGGAGGTGCAACTAGGCCAGGGATGGGCCATGGCTGGAGAGATACAGGGACTCCAGGCGCTGATCATCACGTGAAGGACCCGAGATGGATCTCATGGAAATCCTCGGGAAGATCCCGAGATGGATCTCATGGAAATCCTCGGGCAGATCCATGTGAATGCAGCATTCCCATAAATTTCATCAAGGGATTCACCAACTCCTGACACTGAATTGTTCTTCCTCATCACCAAAAAAGAAAATCTTATTAACCTATGGGCTCTGAATGGAAGAAAAGACTGACTGCCGAAATCTTGGCCTCAGGCGGAATTTTCCCTATAAAAACCGCTTGTGCCAGGATGGAGGTGTGGGCATGGAGGAAACCTCTGCTGGGGCTGACTCCTTGTGGCACACCCAGGGCTGACCCCGGGCTCGGCTCTGTTCTTTCCTTGTGTCTGCCTAGATAGAATTGGATTGCAAAATAAATATTTTATTTGTTCATATTAATTTGGACAAATTGTCATTCATAACACAGGGAACAGCAGAGGGGTGCTGGCAGCTCCTGGAGGCACCTGGAGCTCCCCACGGTGGGCGAGGGCTCTGCGGGAAGGGCTTTGACCATTCCCCATCCTGCAGGAAGGATCAGAGCTCAGGAGTTGGATCCTTCTGGGTCCTTCCCAACTCGGGATATTCTGTGATGCTCAAACCAAGCCTGCCCCTCCTGCTGGGATTAACCCCCGAGGGAGAAGCACCCGGCGGAGGCGCTGCTTGGTTTCCCACCTGGAGCGGAGGGATGGAGCGGGCTGAAGGCAGGGAAGAGCCGCTCCCACCTCCGAACGCTCCTTTATCCCCGCCAGGGTGGGGTTTTCCCCCTCCAATTATTCCTCCTCGGAGAGGAATTCCTGCTCTACAATTACCTTTCCCGGAGGAACAAAGCCAGGCCCCCGAGCCGAGCGCTTTCCAGCCGGGAAGAAAGCGGCTCCTCGGAGCTTTCCTGGGCGTTAATAAAAGCATTTTGTTAAGTTGTGGCATTTTAAAAAGAGGATTTTCTGCCTCAGGAGCCACAGGTTTGTTGTGGTTTGTTTTGTGTGGCTTTGCCCTCCCCCCTTTCCTTCCATCCTTAAAAAGAAGGAGAAAAGCCAAAAGCAAGCGGATTTGTCATAACACCTCTTTGGAGCAGGGAACAACACGACTTAAATCCTTTTCGTGCTTCTGAGACAGTCCAAGGCTCAGACTCAGCTGCCTCAACCCCCTGACAGCTCTGGCAACCTTAGCATTGCAGAGGGAACTGGGGGAAAAGCATCCACAGCTTGATAAAGCTCCCGAATGTTTTCTCCCAAGCAAAACTCGGAGCAGGATTTGCAGTAGGAGAAGGAGGTTCTTTTCTGGGAGTTTCTGCTCATCCATTCGGAGCAGATAAATGTTCCTGTGAACACTGAGCTCCCCTGAAACAAGACACTGGAAATAAATCACTTCCACTGGCTCAAGGTATCACAAATGCCAGGAGATATTTATGTCACTAAAAATACACGGAATTGCAGATAAATCAAGACCCTCCAAGAAAAACCAGAATCTGTCAGTGTTTTTCCCCCAGCTACAGGAAAAGCAGCTCAGGTGGTGCAGGTGGAGGTGAGCCAGGAAATGTTGGGGAAGGAGGATGTGGAGAACATTCCTCTGCATAGAAGAGAAATATTCAATTCTCCAGGAAGGGGATGGGGCTTTGCAGAAAGCATGGGAGGTGTCCCTGCTCCTGGCAGGGCTGGAGCTGGGTGAGTTCTGCCCCAGTGCTGGGGACAGCGCTGCTCCCCTGGCACCGTCACCTCCCACCCTGCTCCCAGGCAGGGCCAAGTGTCAAAGCAGGCTCAGTGAAAGGGGTTGTGCATCCCGACTCCAAACCGAGCCAGAAGGAACTGGGCAGGTTCCATTCGCTAATTTTTGAATGGCACCTACTCCTATCCCATCCCATCCCATCCCATCCCATCCCATCCCATCCCATCCCATCCCATCCCATCGACTCCCCCCGATGGGAATGCACAGCTGAGCTGAGTCCTTGTGGCAGGAACAGCCAGGAATGTTAAAATGCAAAATCCCTCTACAAAGCAGAGCTCTGTGACAGCCCGGTGCTCTCGGGGTCCCCTCGTGGTCACCTCCCCGCTCCAGGAGCATCCCAGGGCTCCGAGGTCGGGTTCCCCGCGGATTCTTCGCTCCATAGAAAGGCAAGAAGAGGACGTGGCTGAGATGTGTGCGGGCACAGCTCCCGGGGCTGCAGCTCACCCGGAGCCAGGCAGCCCTGCCCGGAGCCCCAGAGCTGGGACCTGCTGCCACCAGGGACACGGTGCCACCACAGACACAGTGGCACCACAGGCACAGTGCCACAAGGGACCCAGTGTCACCACAGACCCAGTGTCACCACGGGCACAGTGCCACCAGGGACCCAGTGCCACCACAGAACCAGTGCCACCATAGACTGAGTGCCACCATGGGCACAGTGCCACCACGGGCACAGTGCCACCACAGACTGTGTGTCACCACAGACCCAGTGCCACCAGGGACCCAGTGCCACCACGGACATGGTGCCACCACGGACATGGTGCCACCAGGGACCCAGTGCCACCACAGGCACAATGCCAACACGGACACAGTGCCACAAGGGACCCAGTAACACCAGAGAACCCAGTGCCACCACAGACCAGATGCCACCACAGAGCCCAGTGCCATCACAGATCCAGTGCCACCAGGGACACGGTGCCACCACAGACTGAGTGCCACCACAGGCACAGTGCCACCAAGGACCCAGTGTCACCACAGACCAGCTACCAGCACAGAACCCGGTGCCATCACAGACCCAGTGCCACTACGGACATGGTGCCACCACAGACCCAGTGCCACCAGGGTCCCAGTGGCACCACGGGCACGGTGCCACCACAGACCCAGTGCCACCACACCCTGCAGAAAAGGGCACAGGTTCCCTCACCCCCCTGCCCACTTTCTGCCCTCCACAGCACCTCCCTCCCCTCCTCCCAGCCCAACGCTTTCCAGCCATGCCACCAGCACGATGGAGAACCGAGAGCCACCAGCTCCAGGGCGACTGCAGAGATTGCCAGCAGCCCCGAGCGCCGTCCCTGCTGCTCCCATCCCTGCCAACATCCCAGCCACCTCCAGAGCCGTGCCCACCCTGCCCCGGGAGCTCACCCGGGGGTGCAGGAGAGCGCCGGGGGCTGCGGAAGCTCGGGGCGCTGCCGGGGCCGGGCTCCTCGCTGCCTCTCGCTGCAGCTCCAGAGGCAGCAGTGAGGGAACATTTGGGCATGGCCCGAGTGCGTCGGCGCTGGCAGGAGCCCGGAATGCCCAGCTGACATTCCAGCAGGAGCGGCCTGGCCGGGACAGGGAACAGAACGAGAGGAGCCGGCCGTGCGCTCCGGCCGCCTTGGGAAATCGGCTCTCCAGGAAAACAGCTGGGCACTTGTCCATCTGCTTTCCACGGAACTCCCCCCTCAGCTCGAGTTTGTCACCTCCCTGCACAGTGGGCTGACACTGGCGGAGGGATGGAGCTTCCCAGAGCTCCCAAAGCACCGGGAAGAACGGCCCAGGGAGATGGGGAGGAGAGGCACAGGGGGGTGACACGGGCTGGGGGACACCAAATCCTCCTTGGTGGCAAGGGAAGGGTGTGGGCAAGGCCAGGGTTTGTCCGAAGCTGGGCAGGAGATGAGTGGATCCAGAG